CTCGCTAGTCGCTAGCTTTATTCTTTTATTGCTTTAACTATCATATGGAAAAACACAAACATAACTAAAAATAAACTAGGATACCAAGTTCTAGAATTATTAGGGTGTGCACTAGATCCATCTTCCAACCACAACCAATATACAAGCGTCGGATGATTCCCTTAATAGTTAGCCTCAAAAGTGATCATTACCATCTTTACTCGTATTAGCTACACTACAAACATATTAGTGAGCGACGACTCGTAAGTTAACTTATACATGTAGTGTATTTGCATGTATAAAATACCGATGTATGCATAATAAACCCATTTTCCATGTCATAAAGTATTTTATAAACAGATTGAAAATCCTCTTTCTGTCTTTGGATATGTCCCATTTAGGTACTTCGTGGTTTCCATAACATATGCCTATCGAACCGGACTCGTCCACGGACGTACCCTACCGAGTCTCTAAAAGTGCACATTTGCACTCGCTTGGCCTTGAATCATTACCATTACCATATAAAACCTCATGAAGTCCTTTCCTCATAAAATCTTCAAGTCATGAAAAATCATATTCTTTAAAATATTTTCAATTGTCGCCAAAAAACCATAACATAAACACATGTTTTCATGACTTAAAAACACCGTTCATAAACTTTGGCATGCTTATGCATTATAAATGAAAATGCATAATTAACATTGATTTATAAAATGCATGCCCTAAATAATCATGTAGCCATGTTATGAGAATGTATAAAATTAACGACATAACGACGTTAATAACATTACCTCGTATGAACCATATTAATCGTCACATACAAAACCATTCAAACACCATAGCATTATCATCACCCACATTGCATCACATTCAACACTTACACATCAAATACATTAAACAATTATCAAGAAACACAATTATAGAATAAAATTACATACTACCGACCAAAGTCTCATGTTTTCTCCTTTAGGCCTTACTCTATTGTCACCTAACCATTTCCTTTTAATTTCTAACATCCAATTCACATCAATTATATTCTAGCTTAATCAAATTAATCTATTTATATATTGCCTAACTAATTATGATTATTATTTTCCTATTGGACCTTATTGGGCCCAATTTCCAATTTTCTCATTTTAGACCAAATTCTTGGTTCCTACCAAATTTTTACATTCTCATCAATATCATTACACTATTCTAGCTCTAAATTGGTCATTTTAAGGGTTAAAGACTATTTAAAACTAGACCCTAAATTTGCCCACTTTAAGCTCGAATGTTCTCCAAATTCAAATCCCATGATGTTCTTCTCATTTTATCCTCTCATTTTAATATTAAGTAGCATAAACACACATCAACCATAGAAATCAATTTAATTAAGATTTAGTGTAAAATTCATGTTCAAACCCGAATTGAGCCTTAACGAGTCGAAATTGGGCCTAAGTCCATTTAACCAATTATCTTCAATTTTCTCCAAATTTTATATTCCTACACATCAAAACATGCTCATTAAAGTGTAAATTGATCATCAATCCATAAATTGGATGCATAAAACTCAAACCTTAAAAATCCCTAAATTGGTTGAATATAACCCTAAGTGATTTATAGTTTTTTCGCAATCAAAGTGAAAATTTTCATTCGTAAACACTAATTCATATCTAATTAAGTCGAATTAGGCTTTAAATCATGAATTACAGGAAAAGCACTAAAAACTCCCAAATTGGGTAATTAGGCCGAATGTTAACCCTTAGGAAACCCCATAAATTTTTGAGTTTTAAACCTCAATTTCAAGCCTAATCAACCTATTTCAATCTCAATTACATGAATAACAATTTCAATTTTATTTCCCCCAATTTTTGTTCATCAAGAACCCTAACCCTAATTTTCATATTTTATGCAATTAATCAAAATTAAAGTAATTAAACATAAAATTGACATGAAATTAAACTTATTTATAGTGTAGGTGAAGTTAACTTACTTGATTAAGCTCCAATTTAACCTTGGAAAGCTAGGTTGCTTGAGAATTCCCTTCCTCCTTCTTTTGCTCCTAAATTTGGATTAATTCTCTAAATTTTTTCCTTTGAAATATTTAGCTCTCAACTTAAAATTGAAGCTTATTCCATTGATTTAAAGTGTCTAAAATTGGTTAGTAATATTTTGGATGGATTTTAGGTGAAATTTTTGCAAGATTTTTCTCTCGTGTTTTTTTTTTTATTAGCCCTTTTTTAATTTTTTCAGCACCCCAATTTACAGAAAAATTTTGTAAACTTTTTGACTCCATCTCCATCCTTGGTTTAGGTAAATCTCAACCCTTAATTCAATTTCCAATCATTTCTTTTTACTTGGCTAAATTTTTATCCATTTATTCTTCTTTTTGTTTAAGCCTTCCATCTTGCTTAATTTTGGCCACAATTATTACTGCAATTCAGACTCAATTATGGTTCTAAGTTGGCAAAATATGGGGGAAAATAATTTAATTTAGTCTCTCAACTTGCTAGAGTTTTTCATGGCCTATTCTTTCTTAAATCCTTGTTTTATTCAACTAATCACTTTTAACCTTTCTTTTTAGTATTTAGAACTACTTTTTGACCCTTAAAATTCCTACATAATTTAATTTTAAATTTTAAACTTTTAAATTTATGCAATTGAGTCCCTAATTTTATGCAATTAAGTCCCTAAATCCAAAATTGAGTTGTATACCTTTCTAAAATCCAAATTGTCTTCATAATAAATTCAAAAATTTTATAAAATAATTTAATCATGATTTATATAATTTTTATACTCTTATTTAAGTCTCCAAATTAATTATTTAGTGTGAAAATTACACTATTTCCTATAGAAAATATTCCTTAAAAAGGGAAAAATTAATTTAAATTTATTAGATACTGCTACATATCCTAAATGATTTTTCTATTTCCTTTAAAAAAATTCCTCATACTTTTTAAGCACCTAACTGAATTATTCTACCTCTAAAACATTATTCCTACCCATACAAATTCAAATAAAATATTCAAAACATATTGAAAAATTCACCCAATCACATAAAATAATTTAACACCCATCCAAAAAATATTCTAAGCCAACAAAATATTTTTCATGCACATACAATATGCTCAAAATAAGTATTTCACATAAAATTACTATTCATACATCGTAAAATCAATAAAATATTCATTGAGCATAAAAGAACTAGTTTAACTACTCTAAATATTCTTTCAAACCTTTTTCGATTAATTAGTACCTTTAAAACATTTCTCATATGTTTTTAATATTTAATTTTATTAAAATTTAATTTTAACGGATATCGAGTATTATATGTTTCCACCATAAGAGAGTTTTTCTCTCAATCTAATAATCTAATCTCAGCCAAATGCCTCATCTCCTTCTCTAAGAATCTCACATATTCCGTCATTCTATCAAAGTCAACAAATCAGTCCATAAATTCTTTGATATCCAAATCTCTTTTAAAAGTTGCAACATCAATTTTCATTTAAAATTCATCAAAATTTTAATTAAATCTATCATACCTACTCATAGCATAATCTTCAACCGAAATTTCAAAAAACAAAAATCGCTAGTACAAATAGAATAACTAAAAGCTTATTCGCTAATGTAACACATATTGTAATCAACGATACTTGTTAGTATCTAAAATCAAAACATCGGGATATTCTTCAATCATTGAGAAACTCCCACCTAGTTACTCAAAGTAACAATCATTGTCTTCACTCTAAATGTATCAATGCTATCTTCTAGACCCTTGCAGTGTTCCAAATGACCTGCATTTCTTTATCTGTATCACTTGTATGGTTGTTATCATTTTATCCATCAGTTAGGTCAATCCTTCTTCGATATTAATTGACGCAGCGTATAGCAAAAGAATAACAAAGTTTTTTAGTATTTAAAATCCTTTTAAAAAAACAAATCGGTATAAAAACAAACTCAAGTTGTAATTTATCAATCCTCTTAACGTCAAAAATCATGATATTTGCATCATGAAGCATCACGACCACCTAATCATCACTAAAACTAGGATTTGATGACAATATAATCTTCTTCATTTAGATATTCTTCATATAAGCCCAATCAATAGTACGGCGCCCGCATTTGATAATCATGATTAAATTATGAAATATTATAATTTTTGTATTTTTAATTAATAATATATTATTATATTTCTTAAATTACTTTATTATAATTTTTACTTCATATACCTTTGTTGAAAAAATAAACACAAAAAAAATAATATAATTTTTTATTTTCTAAAAGTTGGTGTTATTCTCGCTCCATGAATTGTTAATTCCACTCCATATTTATTACAAATTTTATTAAAATTCAAAACAAATTCAACTAAAAAAAAGTATACAAAAATCAAAATTTTGACGATATTAATTTTTTTAAATAAAATTTTTGTTGATGAGTAGTGTTTGGAAATACACAAAAATGCAGTATGACCAAAATAATTTTTTGCATAAATTAAATTTGGTGATAAATAATGATAAAAAAAAAGTAAAATTTGAATATCCTAATTACAAAGAGAAAAACTTTTTGCGTTCAGCATATTTTCTAAATATAAATGTAATAACAATATTTATCATCATTAATTTGTGAAAAATCTATTAGAAATGCTTTAGTATATCTAAATAATAGAAGTAGATTATAAAACCATTAACAAAATAAGGAATGGTAAAAAACATTACCCTTTCTAGAAACAAAAAACCAAAACGAAGAAATGAAACAAAAAAGGGCCTCTAAAATTGAAATAGAAAGTTTCTTAAGTTTTAGAGTAAGTTTTGTTGGGCTTCTTTTATATTTGTTTTTGACTTAATTGACTCAAATGATGGGCTAATGCAGCCCAACTTCATTTCTAGCCGAGACAAAAGGATCCTATCGTATCATTCGACGAAACAATGAGTTCGATATTATCGAAGAACACATAAGCTAAGTACAGAGTAACCATTTTTTGATTATCGATTCTCCATTTTTGATTACTCGGGGAAAACAAGAAAAAAAGGTCCAAAGAAATGACTGCTCTTTCAACTTCTGTTCTTTCATTCAAAACTCCTCAACCTCACTTATTATCTTCTGGTAATTTTGTTTTCTCTAACCTCCCCTTTCATTTGTTGTTAAGTTATGTGGATTTTGATTGCTGATTTCGTGTTTGTAACCTTTTTTTGATTTTGATAAAGGTTAGAGAAATGAAAAGAAAATGCCCTTTAAGTTCCTTTTCTCTCATTTCTTTGTTATTTTTAGCATTTGGGTTTTTACTGTCATTTCTTGGTAGGAGCTGCATGCTTGCTTTAAGAAATTAAAGATTGGATTTGTATGCACCAAGTTGTGGCCTTTGAGAACTAGGATTTAAAGGAAAGTTTTAAGATGTGTAAGATCCAAAAGTATCATGTTAATTTTGGAAGAACCGATGATGTAAATTCAATTTGTGCCAATTTTCACGAATTTGTAATTTAATACTGATGCCTGGAGTCTGATCATGTTGCACCCCAATTTTTTAGCTTGTTTCGGTCACTTGATCCAGTGGAGGACATTACCTGATTAACTTCTAAGCATTCTTGATACTGAAATGGAAATATTTCTGAAATGGAAATATTTTTGAATTTGCTTCCAGTTTCTACAGATATACTTTGCTCAGGCAACTTGAGAACGCACTTTGTGCGCTTATCTACGAATTCTTATCACATTTGATGATACCGACTTCACGATCAATCTCAATTTTGTATATGTGTTTCTCATCTTTTTCCTATCCTGCATTACTACTCCACATTGATTGTGCCAATTTTATACTGCTTATGAATCCTTGTCGTTATTGTTTTATTCATTGGTTTCGCTGCATTTTCTGATCATTATTTATTATTAAATTCCAGGTTCTTCTTTGAAGCCAAAAGACCAATGCCTATTGTGTGTTATTCCTGGTAATCTCTCTAGCAAAGGAAAGCCCACAACACATAAAAGGTCACTAACGATTCAAGCAAGGTATGGTCTTGTTGTAATTTGTTGGACTCTACATCATCTGCTGTAAAGACAGATTTGCAGCATCAAGATTAATCTTTTCTATAGTTACTGTCACCCATTTGAAGGGGAGCACTCTCATGAATGGAGACAGTTTTCATTTGTTAGGATCAGCCATAAAACATGAAAGCTGTGACACTGATAGAATCACATACGGTTGGATTTTATTTCTGCTCTTTTTCCTATTTCTCCACTATGATGTTTTGCTTCCATTTTGGAGCTGCTTTTACATGTTTTCCAATAGCCACAGCCTGCCTTTAAGAATCCAAATTCAAGTCATAAAACTTAAATGTATCTCTGAAATCAGTTGGATAGTCTTCCTCTTTTTCTTTTGCTACTTCTCTACTGTCAGTTTTGTAACTTGTTCATGCTTGTTGTATCATATTAATTACTTTCTTCTCAGCCCACATCCATATCTCTCTTTCAATTGATCTTTCCCCCCATGTGCAAGGACAGTGGTGATCGTGGCGGATCAAGTGGTGCAGGTATCTTCATTGGGGGTTTTATATTGGGAGGGATAGTAGCTGGAACATTGGGTTGTGTGTATGCTCCACAGGTACTGCTCAATGAACTATGTAATATGGCTATAGAATATATATATATATATATATATTTTTGATAATTGATATGCTATGGTTCAATTTACTATATATTGTACTTTTGTTTCATTAAAATATACATAGAGATGGATGGCGTGTGATTTCCCAAGACTCTTTAGTATTGCAGAATTATTAGCTTCACTACTACCAGATGTGACATGTTCTTTGCCCCTTTTGTTTAGAATAATAAGTTGAGTTATTTGATTTTCTAGTAAGAAGCACTACGTGGTGCACTAATACATTTGTATGGATTATTCACCATTGTTTTGTTTTTGGCCTATAGAATATAGCTTGTAGGCAGCACCTGGTATGCGGTAACGTGCCAAAAAAATGACACATTATTTATCTGATTGATATTTACTTGTGTTTAAGATAAGCAAGGCATTAGCTGGAGCTGACAGGAAAGATTTGATGAGGAAGCTGCCCAAGTTCATATATGATGAGGAGAAAGCTTTGGAGGTGGGAATTTGTTCTTTCGTTTATCATCCCATTTAAATCATGCTTATTAATCTGTATTATGTTATATAATTACAGTTGAAAATTTTTATGGGTACTTCGTTGATACTGTGGACAGAGGAAGAGAAATAAGTTGGCTATCCCACTTTCTTTAGGTTGTTAGACATTACATCCAAGAATGTGTGTGCGCGTGCGTGTGCCAAAAGTCTTGATTGTCATATAATAGAGAAGGCTTTTAGCAGTAGAATTTCGAAAGTTTGGCCTCTAGACTGGCCATACTTTTCAACGAAAGCAAACCTAAAACCATTTATAAGCTCCTGCATGTTATTTTTTTTCTCGCTCATGATTTGCAGTGAAATTTCTTTGGTTTTTATGTTATGATAACAGAAAACCCGCCAAGTACTTGCTGACAAGATTGCACAGCTGAATTCTGCAATAGATGAGGTTTCTGCTCAACTGCATCCTGAAGATGCTCCCAATGGAACTGCCGTGGCTTCAGATGAGATTCAAGCGTCCATATAAGAAAATGTTGGCCGAATTCTCAATGCAAGTTTCTACTTATTACTTATGATCAGCATTAGAATTCAAAACTTCTTATTCTCTTTTGGTTCTGTTTCTGTGAAATCTTTTTCAGCTCTTTATTCCTGTGGTGGAATATAGTTTGTTTTAAACAATATTAATAATGAGATACTGTTGCTATAGTGTCTTTGATATTGAGACCTTTTGGAGGGAGGGGATACTAAGACCAGCTCAACAACAACGTAGTGGCTAGTTTGCTTTGTTGTTGGGAAGTTACCAGGATTTGAGTAGTTAAGCAGCAGTTTATTGTTGGGTTAATGCTTTTATACATTTATGTAATCCTTGTTTGTATTTAAAAGGTTTCTCTGCCATTTTTTATTTTAATAACAATTATGTGATCTCTTGCAATGGTAAGAATTAAATGTGTTTGAAAAATAAAATCGTCACTCAATTTTTTCAAAGGTAAAAATTAAAGTTAAAAAAAAAAAAAGAACCTAGCTAATTGGTCCTTAGAGTTCTAGCAAAAAGAGGTGATTACACGACTAAAAAAGATTATAGTTATTCTAGTGTGTTATTGTAAAGAGGTTGTCATTTAATTCTAATCTATATTTATTCATGCAAAAAGTCTAATCAGAAACAAAGTTCGGTCTCTCACTTAAATGATTATTAGGTTTTTAGAACCCAATTAGAAGGATTGGATGGTCAAATTTCAACAATGTACATAAAGATAAAAATAAAATGACTATGGATCATAGACTCAAGTCCCATGTCAAACCGTATAATAATATAACAAGAAGTCCACAATAAAAAAGTTCAAAAAATAATATAAACATGGGTTTCAAACACATATCAGTATGCCAAACCATTTAAAAGTAAATAACTTTGCCTCAAAATTCATATGATTAATTTAGAATTCAAATATGCAAGAAGACAAAATTAGTGTCACATAGAAAATAAAATTAAAATTGAACTAAATAAACAAAGATAATAATGATAATAAAAATAAAAAAAAATAATAAATGTGTAATAATGAGAAAAGTCTTTTCATCAAAACAAAGTCGAGTTTCAAGTATTAATCATATTATATCTAGATTGACGTAGATCCATATTACTAAACAAATACGTAAAAACACAAATCACATATTAGATAACGACAATTCCATGGAAAGTATTTGGCCTCCACAAGATCTTTGACCTATTTGGTTTATTTTACTTTTCTAGATAGAGAGAGAGAGAGAGAGGTTTTTTTGGTGCCTAACCTTTTAATTTTTTTTTCTGTTTTGGTGCCTAATCGTTGATCTCTCATGATTGACTACTCAAGTTTTGATTTTTTATTTGTTTTGGTGCTTCGGTTCATCCGAATCCTAATTTTGTTGACGTAACGAAGTGACCTCCCACGTGGCATTTTTTACCGCCACATGACATTTTTTACTATCACGTGTCGGCTTGCAATCGACACATCAACAACAACCAAAATGTTATAAACTAACTGGTTCAATTGAATTTAGTTTATTAACTAAAGAGAAAATTTAACTTGGCAATAGGAGATTTTTTATATTTTTTTATTGCCAGGTGACCAAGTCCAAAATCATGCCTTCTCATGTCCTTTTATTTCAAAGAAACAACAAATACATGTTTAATGGACGATTTTCACAACAAGTGACATGGGGATGTGTATAACAAGGCTAGAAATGGTGTTCTTCAATGGATTGGATTTGGAATCAAACTAACTTTATAGTCGTGTTAATTTTTTTCATTTCAAATTCCCTAACCTTCGTTCTTCTCATTTCAAATTATATTTATGTTATTATGATTTTTGTTTTCTAAAGGGTGATCGAAGGATCGGTAAAACTATCGAGCTAGTTGTGATTGTGGTGAGAGACAAGTTCGGTTGTCAACACGGATTTAAGAGAGAACGGTAAGGTGGCTAGCATTTGGGGAGATCGTTAAGATGGCTAGTGGTAGTAAAGAGATCGACGTGAGGGTTGGTTGTAGGGTTGATCAATGATGACTCAAGAGAAAAATGGTGACAATAGGATGTTAGGTTGGTTGTAAGGTTGATTGGCGAGACTCGTTTTGGCCGATAAGAGGAGAAGGAAAGAGGAAGATAATGGGTAGTTTCTTTTTGGCCGAGATGTTAATGGGTGAGGAAAATATAGTCCATCGGTTAACGAGTGTGTGTTTGAATCGGAGAGAGTGGTTGATGATGGTTAGAAGATTAACGTTAATGGCATAAAAAAGAGAGCCTTATGTCACGGACTTGGCCTTTTCCAAGCTCACGTGCGACACTCGACTCTCTTCTTCTCTAAGACAAACCAAGTCGGCCTTTCTCACACAAAGTTACTAAGCAAGAAAGACACACACAAGAGATATAAAAACTCTTTGTATTACTTTCTAAAGCTTACAACTCTAAAGACATACTCTTTTAAGTTTATGAATGTCTAGGTGTCTTGGCCAAGTGAAGGCATCACCTATTTATACCCTTCCATCTCCTCAATGGATGGCTAGGATCTATTTGATCTAATGGTTATAATTGTTTCTCTAGAAATATCATATCTAGATATTTACAAGGAACTATCTAGATATGTACATGTTAGATTAGTGAGGGACTCTCTAGAATTCTCTAGAACATGTCTAGATTTCTTTAGATCACCCTAGAGACTTCTCCAATGCTCCGTACTCTTCTAGAAACTTCCAGCCTTATTTAGAGGCTTCTCCTTTGCTCCATACTCTTCTGAAGCTTCCGGACTTATCTAGAGACTTCTCCATTGCTCTATACTCTTCTAGAAGCTTTTAGACTTATCTAGTGTTATCCAAAATCTCTAGAAAAATCTCTCTTTTAGACGAAGTGTAACACTCTCCCCCGCTTAATTCCGTGACATCCTCGGTGCGCCTTCATTATACTCTTCGACCTTCGTACGAATTGCCACAAGGCTTCAGTGGGTTCCTAACTAGCCTCGCTATTAGGTAATCCTTTTCATTTCATATAGTACTCCTTCCTTGGTGGCACTCCACGGCGTCCGATTATGCGATCATCAAGTATGACATCAACTTCTTTGTCATACGAGTCAACCACTGCTCGTAGGCGCCCTATGAGAAACTCCTCGGCTTGAATCCACCTCGTCCGCATGGTATGGTTTTAGCATATTAACATGAAATACCGGATGGATCTTCAGCTTCGGTGGCAACTCTAAATGATAGGACACCTCTTCGACCTTACGTACTACCTCAAATGGTCCTTCATATCGTCGTACGAGGCCTTTATGCACCTTTTGAAATGCCTTATGTTGTTATGGTAGTAACTTCACCATCACCTTGTCACCGGGTTGGAAGGTGACATCTCTTCGTCTCTTGTCAACCCACTTCTTCATCTTCTTAGCAGACCTTGTTCAAATACATTTGCATCAAGTCCGCTTGCTCCTATCATTGTTTGGCCAACGAATATGCACTTGGGTTGCTTCTTTGGTAGTTATCACCAAGCACCATCGTATGTGGAGTGAGAGACCGCCGGTCCGTCATAATCTCAAATGGATTCTTGCTAGTGGACTCACTCTTTTCTAAGTTATAGGAGAATTGGACAACATCAAGTAACTTAGCCCAATCTCGTTAGTTGGCACTCATAAAGTGCCTCAAGTATATCTCCAACAAGGCGTCAACCCTCTCGGTCTACCCATCCGTCCGAGGGTGAAAAGATATTGAGTAATGTAGCTTCGAGCCTAGTAACTCGAATAACTCCGTCTATAATTTTCCGGATAATCGAGGATCTCGATCACCGATTATATGTCGCGGCACGCCCCAATACTTCACTACATGTTTGAAGAGTAGCTTAGCGGTGTTCTCGACCGTCACATCCGCCGGGGCTGGTATGAAAGTGGCACACCCGGAGAACTTATCCACGACTATGATAATGCTCTCAAAGTTCTCCGATTTCGACAAAGCCACTATTTAGTCCATGATGATTGTCTCCCATGGTCTCTCCACGATAGGTAAAGGTTGCAATAGACCCCCGTGTGCTCGATTTTCAACTTTGTCTTACTAGCACACTAGACATGTTCTCATATAGGACTCCACATCATCGTGCAACCGTGGCTAAAAGTATATTTCTTCTAGTAAGGCTCTAGTGCGCTGTTGTCCGGGATGTTCCGCCCACATCGATTCATGGCATTCCTTCATCAAATCTCATCGGAGGTTTTCCCGCTTAGGTACATAAATCCTCCTCCCTTTTATGTAAAGCATGCCACCCTCCTTCTAAAATTTTTGAGTCTTGCCTTCCCTTACAAGGGCCAACAAACTCTTGGTGATGGGATCAAGCTCCATTCCTTCTTTAATTCGGCCATGATCTCCTCATCCACCTTTGTTATGTGATGCAACTCGGCCTTTCTACCAAGTGCATCAATAACCACATTGATCTTTAGTTGCTTCCTCAATTCCTCCAACTCAAGAGGGCCTATCCGATAAGGTGCCATGGTTAGCGACTTAGCACCCGACACCAACTCTATTTGGTGATCAATTTCTCTTTTAGGTGACGACTTCTTAGGCAACTCTGGTGGCATCACATCATCAAATTTGGCCAGCACATTAGCGATCTCTTCGGGTACTTTTATACCCTCATCATCCACTATCTCGTCTTCTATCAAAGTTGCCATGTAGGTGTCTTTCCTTTTCTTGAAGCCTTTCTTTACTTGCATAGTCGAGAGATGCTTCAAGTCCGATCTAGCGTGTACCTTGGCTGGCACCATGCATGGCATTTCTTCTTTCATGATCACCATTTGCTCCAAGTGAGGTGTAGACACGGTTTTCGTTTGTTTAAAGAAATTCATACCTAAGCACAACCTTGAAGTTGTCCATTGTGACAATGGTGAAATCTAGGGTCCCTTTCCATATGTCTATACCAAGCCTTACCCCATGCGCTACGCCATAAGTAGGCTTAGGGGAAGCATTCATCACCTTCATGCTACTTGATGACTTAGTCACCACTAAGCCAAGTCTTTTGGCCTCATCCT